TCTGAAAAGCTCGCTCCATAGCCATAGAACACAGTTGCATTTGCAAAACCGGGTCATATAGTTATACTATTAAAAGAGCCGGCCGTGTAATTAGAAAACGGGTTGTTTAGTTCAATTATATAACCCGGTTCCTTACTTAAAACCGGGTCATATAATTATCCCCTTCATAAATCCCGGTTTTTTCATAATATATCCCGGTTTTTCAAAAAACCGGGTCTTATATCGCGAGTTCTATGTGACGTTTTGTAGTAGTGTATAATTAGAGTGAGAAATCTAAAAGTTGAAATTTGAAAGGGATAATAAATAGGTTGATAAGTGACATGAAATTAATTGAGAGACCTAATAGGGTGACACATGACAAAAAGAAAATAAAACTATTTTTTTATTAAAATAGAGAGATTTGCTTTATCAACCACATGCTGATTTTTGTCATCGATTGAGCACATCCATAAAATCTTAGAGGCATTTGTAGGGAGTAAACATTACAATTTGTTATTTTTAATTAATAGCAGGAGAACTGTGAGGGGCATGAGGGTGAGAAAGTAGATGAGAGTCTTCACAGCTGTTATGATTACCAGCCTTCGGGGGACATTCAAAATAACGACACCTAAATGCATTTTTGCATTCTCCATGGGAATTAGATCCGTATATTTTCTCACATACATGAATACATGCATATGGTTTACATTGCAGTAAAAAATGGGTGTCAGTACAAACTTTTATTTGGACGGTGAGCAACTCCATACCTACATATTTGGAAAACATGTATGGTTTTTCATACGTTAGTAATTAATTTTCAGAACGAAAAACATATTCTAGCTAACTCTTAAATTACATCACAGTCTCATAGGAAACTCAAACCCCTCGGCCATTTTAAATGGCCCATGTCAACAACAGATAATGATCATTAAATGGTCAATAAATCTACCAACCAAAACATGTTTATGTATCAAGTTCTTTCACCAATATAGCAACAAATCAAAAAAAAATCTATAAATATTAGAAAGTAATGTTAGGGGTTTCATATTATTTACTTGGACATGGTAACTATCAAGAAACAAAATCCATTTCTACTGATTTGTAATTAAAACGTTTTTAATCAAGAAGAAAATATTCAATAGACATTACCTACGATGACGAGAAACACAAGAAATGTGTAGCGAATCAAGGACTTCATTATGTTGATGTTCAATTGATAGATTATATGTAATGAGACGTAATTATATCGAACATGAGAAGAAATTTATTTAATTATAATTGCATTTATTGTTGAACTCCCTCCTTGAGGTTGAGGGTTCAAGTTCCGTCGTGGACATAGGTGGATTTAAGGTGTAGTTTAGGAGTAGGTTAGATTTGTCGTTAAAAAAAAAAAAACATTAAATTTTGCATGTCCATGGTTTTATAGAAATAATAATTTAAACTAAAAGTAATAAAACTTTAGATATAGAATTGTTAGTGTACATTTATATTATTTTATGTATATTCGGAGAGTCAATTTTGTTAGTATTCATAGTTAGAGGTATTTTCTGTATTTTATTTTAATTAGCTATGTTAATAGTTTTTCGTATCGTAATGTACCATTTATGCTTATCTTGATCAAAATATAGAAGGGGACTACGACCATGGCTTGAAGCCTTTGGTCTAATCGATTTCATTCACATTCGCTATTATGTATCTGACAAGAAATATATGGATGTGTACAAATCTTATGACAAATATAAGGGAGGTAAATTATAACGTTTAACACAATATTTGGTGATTGCTGTCCACACTTAAACTTGGAATATTTTTATGGATCTCCAACTAAATAATTTAAGGCGTGACTTGGCGGTAATGTCAAGCCTCAAGTTTTTTTAAGTCGTGGCTAGCCACGTCATTTGTAAAGCGTGACTTAAAGCGGCAATTTTGTATATAATTATTAATTTTAAATATATTTTCTACTATTATTGGTTTTTATATACATATGTGACTTATAGTGACATTTTGTCAAAGCTTGGCGGTAAGTACAAGCTTTAGAGCCATGACGGAGCCTTGGTGAGCTTTTTAGAACATTGATATATACATATAAATTAGTGGGAACCAGGGTCGGTCCAAACGTATACGGGGCCCGGGGCGAAAAGAAAAAAAAAGGTCCTTAAAGACAAATATAATAAAGATTAAAAAAATATCATTTATTCTCACTATAAACACGTTCAATTAGCAATAACAAGCAAACCAAATTGTTTATCTTTTGAGCTAGTTTGAGTTTAAACAAACTTTAGGCCCTAAAAATTATTTAGGTAATAATTTTTTTTTATATATATGCACTACATAGCCCATAAATTTTGGGCCCCCTGGAGACGTGGGTCATGGGCGGTCGCCCGGGTTGCCCACCGTCTGGACCGGCCCTGGTGGGAACCATAGTTACAAAATTAATTAAATTTTCAGATTAAAAACTTAAAAATTAATCAATTATTTTGAATAAATTATTAATTAAGAGATATTTTTTAATTATATAAAATTATAATCGTTGATTAAATAAATACATGAAATTATATCACCTTATAATTTGTATTAACTTTATTTTAATTTTTATTCTAATGTTATTAATTTAATGTAATTAGAGTGAGAAATTTAAATTTTAACATTTGAAATGGAGAACCAATAAGTTTAATCGGGTGTTTGTAACTAGATGGGCCTTTAATAACGAATGAGGTATATGCTTGGGCGAAACATGTAAAAAAAAAGGTCCTCCTATTCAAAGTTGATTTCGACAAAGCCTTTGATTCGATCAATTGGGAATACTTAGATTCCATTCTACTTCAGATGGGATTCGGCAACTAATGACGCTCACGGATCAGAGGCTATCTTTCTTCATCTCGTGCGTCGATCATGGTCAATGGTTCCCCAACAATGGAGTTCGACATAACCAAAGGAGTAAGGCAAGGAGACCCATTCTTTCCATTTCTGTTCATTATTTCTATGGAAGGCCTAAATATAGCAATGGAATCTACAAAAGAAAAAGGAATATACACCGAAGTACAACTTCCAAGAAATGGACCACTGATTTCTCATCTCTTTTACGTTGATGATGCTTTATTTGTGGGTGAATGGTCCAAGTCTAACATGAAAAATCTCGCTTGTATTTTAAAGTGCTTTCATGTATCATCTGGTCTAAGAGTTAACTTTCACAAATCCAAAGTCTTCGGCATTGGCACTTCAAATCACGAAACTTCCTAATGGGCCAACATTCTTGGATGTGTAGCTGGTGCATTACCTTTTACCTACCTAGGTGTTCCGGTTGGAGCCAATATGAACCTAAAAAAGAATTGGCTGCCGGTTATAAACAAATTCAGGGCCAAATTATCGAAGTGGAAGTCAAAAGCACTCTCTTTTGGAGGTCGTGTAACCCTCATGAAATCGGTTCTCAGGAATCTTCCCACGTTCTATCTATCGCTCTTCAAAGCACCAATTGGCGTTATCAAAACCTTAGAGAAGATTCGTACAAGGTTTCTATGCGGAGGTAACGAAAATAAGCAAAAAATCCAATGGGTTTCACGGGAGAAAATTATTGCATCAAAAGATAATGGGGGACTTGGAGTCGGATCGATTCGGGCTTTAAACATCGCTCTAATGGCCAAGTGGTGGTGGAGGTTGAAAACCGAACCCTCCTCCTTGTGGTGTCGTACCATCCATATTCTTCAAAATAAGGCAGTCGAATATCTATCGAAAAAGAATATAACCAGGGTATGGAATAACATAGCCACCACCAAGAAAAATATTAACTCCTTTAGTCTAAGCTTTGATAGTATATGCCGGAAGATTATCAATTCAGGCGATAAAAGCCAATTCTGAAATGACATGTGGCACGACACATGTACCCTAAGTCAGAATTCCCGTTACTATATGTTATGGAAAAGAAAAAGAGTTGTACTGTAGCTGAAAGAATCACCAATAGTGGACCTTTGTGGCAATGGAAATCTACTCTTGTTAATCATGGTACATGTTTAGAGTTGGACGAACTAAACACCACTATCGAATAATTCAAAATTAAGTTGGGACCGGATAAATGGACTTGTCTGTTAGATAAAGAAGGTAGGTACACAGTTGCTTCATTGAGGATGAAAACTGACAACATACATATAAACAACTAAGTGCAGTGTAGAGTAAACTGGAGTAGAACCATTCCTTTAAAAGTTATTTGCTTCATGTGGAGAGCCGCTCTTGGGCGTATACCATCCGTGATTGCCCTTCAACATAGAGGAATCCATATCGAGTAAACCAGTGCAGTGTAGAGTAAACTGGAGTAGAACCATTCCTTTAAAAGTTATTTGCTTCATCTGGAGAGCCGCTCTTGGGCGTATACCATCCGCGATTACCCTTCAACATTGAGGAATCTATATTGAGTCTACCTTATGCGGATCTTGTATTGGCGAGCAGGAATGTGTTGATCATATTCTTGTGAAATGCACTTATGCTTACAAGGTGCGAGAACAAATCTTCATAAGGTGTGGTATAGACTTGTGTACAGCTCACAGTGTAGGCGGTCTCTTAAAGTCAACAGCAACATGGGGTCGTTGTCCCAAAAAAAGAGAATGTTTTATGGCTATCTGTTACGGGATAATATGAACGCTATGGAAATATAGAAACGATCGTTTATTTCAATAGGTGTTCTATGCTACAAGTAAATATAGAAACGATCGTTTATTTCAAGAGGTGGTCTATGCTCCAAGTATAGCGGTGGAAAATGTGAAAGCAACGGTGTTTACATGGCTCAAATTCAGGGGCAAAAGAAACATTTGTAGTTGGGTTGAGTGGAATCACTCCTCTTTTTCTCTTTTGTAATTGACTATGTTGTTTTGTTGTCTTTTCCCATCTTGGCCGTTTCCAAATAAAAAAAATAGCATGATAGTAACTAAGAGGCTTAATAAGATGACCCATGACAAAAAAAGAATAAACCTATTCTTTTATTACAATAGAAAGATGAAAAAAGAAGAATAAACATATTATTTTATTAGAATAGGGAGATTCACTTGACCATTAGGAAGAAGATAATAAACACTTAATACTCTCTCAACAAAATTTCCATTTTCTCCCGGTCTTTTTTTTTCCTCCTCCCAATTATGATCATGAATCTCATTTCATGTCAACCAAACCCAGACATAATTCAACTCCAACTCCAATAATTCAACTCCAACTCCAAATCATTCAAATTCCAGTTTTTGACATATTTCAGTTTCTTTCAAAATATTCTCCCAAGCAAATATCCTCTTAGATCAATTTTAGAGACTAACTATCTCATGGATTAAATCCAAGAATACAATGTTACAATAATGTCCCTTCTTTTGTAGTAACTAGTAAGTAATTGCATCCAATGGTAAGTAGTTGAAGTGTCTCGCTATGGTCATGGCGTTGGTATTTGACCACCTCTTTTGTAGGTACACCATTGATGTATTCTTTTTGCTTTTTGAAAACTCCTATTTCCCATTCTAAAATCCACAAATTTAAATTCATATCATTACCTCCTTAAAAATACACAACACTTTTTCAAAACCAATCGTTGAAGCCAAAAGCCGAATTCTTTTCAAAACCTTGTGTCACCCGACTTCATATGTTACAAACGTTGGAATAGAGGTTCCATTCTCCTTTCTCAAGATTAGTTGTCACAATTCCATCGTATAATCAAAATTAAACACATATACAAAACACCTTCGATAGAGATTCCATTCTCCTTCAAAACCAAAAACCAGTCTTGAAAGATGAATCCCATTGAAATTACGAAAACAGGAACAACACCCTGTCAATCAAAATCACATCAATACCATTAAAAACAGATTCCCGAACATTTATAACATCAAGATTTTCATATTAAACCAACAATAAACCATCATAGAGTATGTACAAGATTATAGAACAATCACGTTTATCCAAGCCTTATAAACCAAAAGGAAAATTATTAGATCAGATTGTGGATCTTCTTCAATGGTATCCTATAGGAGCTGGAGAATCTTTAAGCTCAAGTCCTTGATAATGAATGTCCTGAAAAAAAATAATCATTCCCCAATATCAATAAAACGTAATGAAAGAACAAGAATACACAAGAAAATTAAATGGGATTAAAGATGTTAATTAATTACCGAAGCAAAGTGATTAACATCACGATGATGAGCTTCATCTGCTCTCACAACCATCACAACATCACGAAGAGTTGAATCAGCAGGAAGACGCCAATAATCGATAGCAATGGCTGGAGCTTTCACGTTTTCAATGGTTCCTTTATCAAGCTCCTTCAAGAACTCAGTGTATGAATGGATCGCTTCTTCCTCAAGGTACCCCACGATTCTGTGCGCTAGTTTAGGGGAAGCAAGATATGCGAGAAAGTAGGCGTTGAAGAAGACGCCTTGAACAGTGAAAACTAGGGCACGTTCATACCACCTTGGTTTGGAAACCTCCATGAAAGTCATTAGATGCATTCTTTCGTTTTCGGCTTCTTCTAATAGAGCTTTGATCCACCCACCACTGGGCTCGAAACGCCGGAGGGATTTACAGTGAAGGAGCATTCCTCCGACCATTCCGGGAACGGCGGCGACGGTTTCAAGCATCATTGCTCGACATCCATATCTTTTCTATAATGATTAAATCGATTTCAATACATGTTATAGTTTGATTGCAATTATATTCGGATAAAATTAGTTTACCTGAAAGAAAACATCGGTAGGGAATCGGAGAGATTTGACAGTCCAGTATGCTAGTTTATCCAAGAACGTCGTCGGAGTATGGTGCTTCTTTAGATCGATCGAGAGATCTGCTTGGTATGTCTCCCATGGCTGACGAAGAAATTAAGATCAGAAAAAACCGAAAGAGATAACAGCAGAAAATACATGACGATTTATAGAACTAATTAATTGAAGCATACCCTGAAGCAATGCCACTTCCACTCTGAACCATCCTCTTTCGTAACTTTAGGTGGTTGTACACCCCAGTAACTAACGACCTCTTTACCTTTCTGACCACCGGCGGCTGCGCCGCCGCTACCAGTTGCCTCTTCCTTCTGATCCGGCTGCTGTACTTTCTCCCCCAATGTCATCGTACTCGCATGGCGAGCGCCAATCGGAGACGACGTGATCCACCATGTCACCACCGCCTTTTTCAGATCCGATGAGGCCGGCGTTGGCTCTCATCACACCGGTAATGGAAGCGTTTCCGGCTGCTGTTGACAGTAAACGTGGACCCATTTGACCCATCACCGATCGGACTACAGTCGTTGCTCCACGACTCATCATCTTCTTTGACGATCACTGAAACCAGAACTTGAAACACCAAAATTAATGGCAGTTGCAAGAAAATTGGAAAGTTGTTGTGAAATGCTTTTTGTGTGTAATATTTCTTGGAGAAGGGTTTATGGGTTTTGGCTCATTTTATACCATACAAAAAGGTATGGCGGTGAAAGGATACGGCGGCGTTTCGTGTCCGATTCAGAACTGCGTCGAAACAAATCAAATTGTGGCACACGTTTTTCCAATTCTAGCCTTTCATTTTGGAAAGCTATCCGATGACTCTAAAGTGTGAAATGACTATTATACCCCTGGATTAAATTTTATTGGTGTTGCAATATTGAATACTTATACGACATGAAATTAATTTTGGCGATCCCGCTATGTTTGGAGTAATTAACAGATAAAAAATGGTAGTATTTTGTAAAGTAGCTAAGTAAATTAGATTAAATATGTAAAATGATATCAAATAAAATATATAAAAGATTGACTATTTTAATAATTTAGAAAGTATCTGTTGAAAAACTAATCTAAATAGTTTTTTTTAATTGACTTATAAATTACTTTTTAATTGCCAAATATAACGATTTAAAAAATCCAAAAAATAAGTTAATTTATAAGCCGATATGACTTGCCAAACATCCTAATAAAAGATAATCAAACCATATAAGTTGGTGTTAAATTCTTATTATAATTCTTCGATACAAAATCTAAAAGATCCTAATGGCGTATTTAATTTTTTTTCCTCCAAATGATAAAATAGTTAATTAATAATCTGCAAAACAAAATCAAATTTCTCACAACATGCCATCGTTGTATTTGTTGTTATTTAAATGTTTATATTGACATATGAATTTATAGAAGAAAAAAAAAACATGTCACCATCTTTTTATAAAATGGGCGACATGTCATCATCAAAACATCCGGTTAAAATATTATAACTTTTGATATAAAAATATGATTATAGAACTCATATAAGACATTAGCCATCATCTTATCATTAAAATAAAATGAAACTTGATTGCATAAATATGGTTTTAACCTAATATAAATCGAAAGAAGGAATAATTGGAGGGTATAATAGTAAATTAGAGAAGGGAAAACAAACGGAAAATTAGAGGAGGAAAAATGCTTTAAGGAACTTTTCTTGGGCTCCAAGCATATCTAGTTGGTCCTACATTTCGGGTAACGTATTTTGTGAATAGAAAATTGCCAAGTGCCAACCAGACAACAACTTATTCTGCCACATTTTCCTATGGTTTTTTTTAAAGAACAAATTACACGAATGTTTTTTTTTTTTTTTTTTTTTTTTTTTTTTTTTTTTTTTTTAAGTAGTCCTTACGAAACTTTTTTCTCTCGTATGGTACTTACGGAGCAAACCTCGCACACAAATGATCCTTATAACTAACTTTGTTAACATATTCTGTGAAGTGTGTGTAAAAAGACGAAAATACCCTTTGCTTTTATTTATTTATTTATTTTTAATATTTTATTAATTTGAAATTAAAAAAAAAGTGAGGCTCTCTCTCTCTCATTAAAGCACCACCCAATTCATCTTCTCCGGCATATGTCTCCCCCCACCTTACATCGTCGCTCGCTGACATGCCACCTCCATCTTCTCCTCTCTCTTGTAATCTCATGAAGGGGAAGATCGTTAGATTCAGAAAGAAGTTCAGGGTTTTCGATTTGCAACAAAAAAAAAAGCTTTAAATCTGGATCAGGTGGGTCCTTTTAAACCCTTTAAACGCCAACCCTAACAAAATCGCCAATGGAGACACCGCCTTCCACCACCACCAATCCCTTCCCAGACGCTAGACCAAAACAAAGCAAGAAGTCGAAGTGTCACCTCTTCTAATGGGTTCAGATATGATGAGATTGAATTTCTTGTTCTTTCCGTCACTTAGCAGTCCCGTCGAGGGCTCCTTCTGTCAAAGAAGTTGCCGACGAACCAGGAGCTGCCACCGCCGCTTCTAATCGCTCATCCGATTGTTAAAGAAACCCACGAACCTCCCTTCCTTCGATATTGTTACTGCTCGTTCCCTTCCATGGGGTTAAGCAGCCTCGAACCTCCCCATTTCTCTATTTTGCTCCCCGATCAGATGAAGACGGAGACTTGTTCCCTTGGTTCTCAACCAACGATGTGCTTGTTGATCTAATTTGTATCTTGGCTGGGCAATCCAGAGGGCATGTGCTTGTTTCTTGAAATTTCTTTTCCAAACGTCACCTGCAACTGTGATTGCAGCCATGACGGATTTTGACCATTAAATTCCTTAAATTACAGCAGATCTGAGCCTTCGTTGGTTTGTTTATTATAGAAAATTTGTGTAAGTTTGCATAAAATTGTGTTCCATTCTTTGCTCTTATCAGTAAGTTTGCAGAAAATTTGTGTTTCATTCTTCAAATCTAAAGAATTATATATTGAAATCTGAATCTCTTTCAAAACATCTTCGTAATTCTGCCCTGTCATAATTTGCTTTAGCTTGTGTTCACCTATTGAATGATGGAGGTTTTTTGCTTAAGTACACAGTTGGGTTGTGGGTTTGATGATGGTAGTGGGATTGATTTCTTCACCAAAGCATGAACACATCAAGAGAGAGGGAGAGAGATGAGAGGGGACCATCTGTGAGCATAAAACAAAGGGTATTTTTGAAATTTAACAAAAATTAACAGAATCTGTTAACAAAGTTAGTCACAAGGGCCTTTTGTGTGCATGGTTTGCTCCGTAGGTACCATCTGAGGGAAAAAAGTTTCGTAGGGACTATTTTAGGGGAAAAAGCAAAACCTTAAAGACCATTCGTGTAATTTGTTCTTTTTTAAATATACAATTATATTTAAATTATTACAATGAAATCCAAAAGTTCTATATTCAGGCTCATGAGAATTATTATAACTTGCTCATTCTGCCAAATTTTCCTATGGTTTTTATTTTTTAAATACACAATTTTCTTATGGCTTTTACTTTTTAAATATACAATGATGTTTAAATTATTACAATGAAGTCCAAAAAGTTCAATATTCTTAAGCTCATTAAAATTATTATATATGTGTTCGCACAAAGGAGCGACGATAAATAGCTCTTTTGGCAAATCGTTTGTTACGGAGAAATAATTATTAAATTTTATTATTAGTTATTTTGTAATAAAAAAATTATAACTTTTAAATAAAATATTTATGTTTAGACTTTATATTTATATTGTTTGTTTTTTACTTAGTTAATATTAGTGTCTAGTTAAGAAAATATAATTTAATTTATATACAAGAATTTAGTATTTTTAAATTTTCAGTTTGTTCTAAATTGAATTTATTAATAATCTTCCTTAATTCAAGTTTTCAAACTTTTGACAAATATTAATGATTTATGTATGCAAAATTGAATTGTACAAAAAAAACTTTGTAACTTATACCTCTTAAAATTTAAGATATAACTAATATGTTTTATAATATAGTATAAGATATTAAAATAAAATTGTTTAACAAGAGTAGTGTTTCTGAATTTCAAATTTTTGCCACCATATTTTAATCACTTTTGTTTGCAGCCCTTTCACTTATTTTGTAGGATGTAGCGTCTTAGATGTTTTTAGTTTTAAAGTTTTGTCACATTGGTTTTTGATTTTAGCATATTTAGTCCATGTAATTTTGTAATGTATAAAAATCGACCTTGTAAAGTTCGTTTCTTTTTTTACAAAAACAATCCATAAGTTAAATATTTTTGTGTGTCGTCGATTTGGCCTCTATGTAGAATATAAATTACAAAAATTGTCCCGGTAATTTATAGAAAACGTCATTGTGTTTTTTTTTACAAAAACGATCTATATGTTTAAAAAATTACAATAAAGGTTTTGTGTAGTTTTTTTCGTTTGCAGATTACAAAAACAGTCCTACACTTTTTGGTTTCACACTTTTGCCACATGAGTATTGTATATTTGCAGGTTTTTCCTTACATTTTCGGCATTTGTAGTCACGTAAATTGTGCCCCCCCTACCCCAAACCTCACATGCGTCCCCACAAAGTAGAGATGGGGAAATTTCTAATTAGTATTATATAGAATATGATAAGATGAGTTAATTTCCTTGTATTCAAATTGCCTCATATATCTGACCAGAAATATTTTATTATATAAATTGGTAAAAAAAGTATAATTTAATTACATAAGTAATTACAGCTTCTGAAACATCCCAAAATTCATGACCAAAAATTTCATTTTTAATTATTAAATAAAACCATAGTTATCAAAACCTCTAGTCAAAACATAAGTTATAATATCTCAAAACATCATGATCAGAGTATCCATCTCAAAAACATATGTCAATATATCAGAGTAAACATCCCAGGCTAAAACATCGTGGTGTGTGCAATGCAGTCATCCCGAGCTCTTCCCTTTGCTATCGAAAGTACCTGAAACCAAAACTGAAAACTGTAAGCACGAAGCTTAGTGAGTTTCCCCAAACTACCACATACCATACACATAATCACATAATCACATATAAACGTATCATGGGCCCTGCCCCTTCATCGGGCCCCGCCCGACATCGGACGATGTCCGACATTGGGCCCCACCTGGCATCAAGATGAGCTCGACATGCATATAAACATATCACAATACACATAAACATATCACATAGCATAACACATATAAACATTCATCGAGTACCGCCCGACATCGGACCGAAATTCGGAAAGCATACAAACATTCCTCGGGCACCGCCCGACATCGGACTGAAATCCGGAAACATACAAATACAGATACATGCAAGAATCAGAAAGACATCAAGCATACAAACATTCCTCGGGTATCGCCCGACATCGGATCGTAATCCGGAAAACATATAAACCTACATCGGGCACCGCCACACATTGGACCTTAGTCCGAAACATACAAACATATATATACGGGCCGAAATTGGTGCCTTTGACCCGTTCATACAGGAGGAAAACTCACTAAGCTTCGTGCTTACAGTTTTCAGTTTTGGTTTCAGGTACTTCCGGTAGCAAAGGGCAGAGCTCGGGATGACTGCATTGCACACACCACGATGTTTTAGCCGGGGATGTTTACTCTGATATATTGACATACGTTTTTGAGATGGATACTCTAATCATGATGTTTTGAGATATTATAACTTATGT